GTTCCTATCGTTTCCAAAAGTGGAACCCTTCCTGGTGGAACAAGCCTTTGAAGACGAAGGGGACGGTCAAAGCGTTGGCCAAATTATAATAATCCCCATCATGACAACCTCGAGGCAGTACTATAACTCACTATGGCAATAACAATGTAATTCACAACGGTCACCTGTGCAGCACCATCAGTGCAATTCTCATCCATGTTCCGGACCTATTAAGGTCCTTGTTGAACATCATAGATGCACATAACCTGTTGCTGATTTTCAGCAGTTCTAGTAATTTTGCTAGCTGTTCAAACCGACCTCTTGCTGGACGCACTAGCAGTTTTTCCTTCGATCTACATCATTTCTTTTTCTTCTTAGCCTTTAGCTTAGCCCGGTAGGATCGCCCATAGACTGGGAAGCGCTCTATCTCCAGATCCAGTGAAACTTTTAAGGTTGCTTAGAAAAGGTGCAAAAATAGAGTGTACACAAAATTTTCGCTGCACTGAGGGACTCTGCTCAGAAAGCTGCTGGATTTGTCAGCCCAACTAAGCGCTTATGCGCTACAGTAGTAAAGCAGGATTTGGAGTATTTCAGGGCTAGTAAAACCGTAAGTACATGCGCTTAAGAGCTTTCACAAGATTGTTTATCAGGGTACGCGTCAAATGCCGTCGTCGTTGACAGCCGCCTTACAGCTCACATTAGTATGAATACACATGGTCCCCGTGGTCGCCATGACGACCCTGGGCGCGCCCAGAGATTTTGTCTATAACTGACGGGGGAGTATTTTATGATTTCGTTTTCACTGTATTGGCAGATTTCGAGTGCCCTATCTGAGTACTTCCTATTTAAGGATGCACCCTAGCTGTTCAGGGCACTAGCCAAATTCAAGCCGTGAATTTTTACTGAGCCCGAATGGCTCCAGTGACTGATTTCGGAACAAATCCTCGCTATGCTCAGGAACAACCCGTAGAGGTAATGATTCATAAAGTTAATAATGATCCTATTGATTCATAAAATTTGACTGAGCTCAGATCGCTGCATATTTATATGTTCTGAATGTAAAAATAACTGTCAATGACTCAACAAATTCCAATTTAAAAACAGTCTATCGTCCACCAATTACACTGGCGCAGGCCCTCAAATTGCGACGTTAAAGGAGGCAGAGCCAAGTAGGCAGCGTGAACTTTTTCAAATGAAAGTTCAGTTGTGATAAGGATTTGGTGAGCTCTTCACAAAGATGAAGTTGAGAATTGAGGTTTCCAGAAATGTCCTTACCCGGTTTGGGACTCGTAGGAGAAACATCCTGTGGCCCAAAATCGAAAGCTCTATATCAGCTATTTCTCCGTTGATGTTAGCGCGTACTATGCTCAGGCTACAGCAACATTCAGACGCACCTCCGCCACATGTTGATGCATTTTTGTGTTTTCCGACGAAGTACGAACCTTGGGAAGCTGCCCAAGGATTGGGAGAAAGCTTGAATACCGCTTTTAGCTGAGCAGAATGAACGGCCTTTTAAGAACCTCCTCACCGAGTGTTGGGCCAATCTCACGTGACTACTTGAGCAAAAAAATGGTGGAAGTGGACCCCAGGCAGATTGGACTCCAGCTGTTTCTTCCTTCGACGCATCTTACTGGATCTTAATGGATGGCTTGCCCCAGATAGGTAGCCCATGAGGATTTTAGCAGGAGCTCCAGAGAACTAAGACTGCCTTTTCTTCTGTTGATGCCATAGGGGGGGGGGATGCGCAGCGTGCTCCTAGTGCATTGGTCACAGGGAATGAGTAATCATTAGTCACCTGCCTGCTGGCGAACCTAATCACCTGATTTTAGTAAGGCAGTTAAGGCTTCCAAAAACACACAAGAACTCAACACTCGTGGGTGGCCGTCGCTTTGAATTCCATATCTGACTACGTTGCTCAAAGGCATCCCCGTTCTCTATTAACTCCACTAAAGCCGTTTCTGTGGTTTCCAAGTTCATTTACTATTTCCTTCCAGAACTCCAATGGGATTCGACCAAGGCAAGGTCACAAAATCATCATTAATCAGTCGAAGAAGGAATTGTTCAACATCCATTCCGGGTTAAGAGGTATTCATCGACGTCTGAAAAATGCATGGACTGTAGAAACGTTAGTTTAGCCTTTTTCATGCTCTTGTTCCAAACTGTTTCGTCATTTGCTCTACCTACGCTACGCTTTGTTTATCATACAATAAATAACCTCGATTGCAGACCCTGATGAGATTACCGATGGCGTTCTTGATGGAGTACGTGTGTTTATACTACCACATCCGAGAGCTAAATTCAACGTTTCTGAGGTAATTCCATCATATTTGAAGGTGAAAAAATAATCGACACCATTGCATTCTCGTGTCGCACCAGCTATGCTAGAATGGCTGAGCGCTATCGTCACCAACAAGTCCCGCATATTGATCTGCTCTTCGCCATCGAGCACCATCCCTCGATCTCGGCTGTCTGGTGCCAGACACCTTTAAAGAAAAAGAGAAATAAAAAAAAAATAAAATAAAAGGATAAAGCATTTGCCGTTGATCAATCCCTTTTTGGGATGCGGCACGCATTCTACTTCCATTTGTACATTCGCAGTGGCGTTTGAATGCGATGTGGCCTATACAATGACTTGCGGGGGCCAGCCGATGTTCAAGTCAGTGTTTTTTATCCTCCCAGACAAGTCTGTTTCCCGCCTCGTCCTCTTTCATATTAAAAATACGCCATTTTTTCGTGACACACAAATAGACAGAATTCCGTTTTCTTTCTTTTCTATATACTGAGATATCTGGCCTTAATATTGGCGAGGAGGCTGCCGGGAAACTGCTGTTTTCACCTCGCTATTCAGATTTTTATAGAAACATTTTGTTCGGCTCAGCCGCCTTAAAGGACTAAGCTTTTCACATCACGACGTGAGGAATCCTCTTATTTTGAATGAATACTTTGGTCAGCTGGCGACAGGGGGACCTTCGCTACCTCTTGCCCTCGGTTGATACAAAAGGATAAAGGATAAAGCATTTGCCGTTGATCAATCCCTTTTTGGGATGCGGCACGCATTCTACTTCCATTTGTACATTCGCAGTGGCATTTGAATGCGATGTGGCCTATACAATGACTTGCGGGGGCCAGCCGATGTTCAAGTCAGTGTTTTTTATCCTCCCCCCCGCGT